TATATATATAAAAATTTATTTAAATATTTTTATGTATTTGGTAAAAAATAAAAATGACAAAAGCATGTAAGAAAATTAAACTAACATTAAAATGACCTACAATTAAAATGAAAACAGAAACTTAGCTAATTCAAAATATAAACAAATACTACAGTAGTATATGAATAACAATAAAATAATTTTCGCTAACTGCAATAAAGCAGAAATAAATAAAATCTAAATATTAGGTGGAAAACTTACATTAAAAAACTTTTACTTAAAGTAAAAAAAAGAACACTAAAACTAAATGAAATAGAAATAAAATTAATTGGAAAACAAAATGACAAAAGTACATAAAATTAAAATGAAAAATATTTGTTCATTAATTTAAAATGGTGCTGAAAAAAAATATATATGACAACTATCTGAAACAAAATAATTTTAAGCTCAAGTACTAAAATTGCTCAAATTAGAACTGAAATAAAAATAAATGAAAGCTAAATGTAATAAAACATAAAAAATAAAAGCTAATTCAAAATATTAATAAATGTTATGATAGTATATAAGTAATACTAAGATAACTTTGGAGTGTGTAACATGAATTTTTGCCACAGGTTTGCAGCTGAATTTGATTTCCGCACGTTTGATCCTGAGGGAGTGATTCTGTATGCCGAGTCTTCGCAGGACTCCTGGTTTATGTTGGGTTTACGGTCTGGCCGCATCGAGGTTCAGTTTAAGAATGAACACTCCATCAAAATGACCAGCGGAGGAAAAGCCATCAATGATGGCCAGTGGCATGTGGTGCGTTTGAATCAATCATGATTATAGATGATCATGTCTCTGTCTGAAAAGACCTGCTTCATTGTTCCAGTATTAGTGGAAGTTTCATTAGTATCTATCAGAACACCATTCAAAAGTTTGGGGTCGGTTTTTTAATGTTTTTGAAAGAAGTCTCTTCTGCTTACCAAGGCTGCATTTATTTGATCAATATTCATTCAGTAAAAATTTTACTGAAATATTATTACTATTTAAAATAACTGTTTTCTATGTGAATATATTGTTAAATGTAATTTATTCCTGTGATCAAAGTATTTCACATGATCCTTCAGAAATCATTCTTATATGATGATTTGCTGCTCAAGAAACATTTCATATTATCAATGATGAAAACAGTTGTTGCTGCTCAATATTTTTGTGGAAACTGATCATTTTTTCAAGGTCTCTTAATGTATAGAAAGTTCAAAAGAATAGCATTTATTTGAAATAGCATCATAAATGCTGGGACTTTTAATCATGTGTGCTCTGAATAAAAGTATTTCTTTCAAAGAAAAAAAAAACTGACCACAAACTTTTAAACGGTAATGTAGGTGTATTAAATTAGACTTTTAGCCGTTTTAAGGATTATTTACTTGGACTTTTTCCTCTACAGGCTGATGAACCCATTGCTGATTATGCTGCAATGGATGATGTTTATCAAGGTAAGTGCTGTTTATGTAAGCTTAAATTCTCTTACCAGTATGTCTCATTTCCAACACCTATTTCTGCGGGGGGTTTTTGATGCAATCATTCTTATATGATGATTTGCTGCTCAAGAAACATTTAGGATCATCATCAACAATTGTGCTGCTTCATATTTTTGTGGAAATTGTGATTTTTCACATTTTATTTTATTTAAACATTTTACTTTTCAGGATTCTTTGATGAATACTGTAGAAAGTTCAAAATAACAGCATTTATTTGAAATAGAGATCTTTTGTAACATTATAAATGACTGCACTGTCACTTTTGATCAATTTAATGCATCCTTACTGAATAAAATTATTAATTTCTTTAAAGGGATAGTTCACTCAAAAATGAAAATTCTGTCATTAATTACTCACCCTCATGTCGTTCCAAACCC